TAACTAAAAGGTCTCCTAAATGTATAGGACCCATTTTATACAATAAACTTCCGGACTTCATAAAAAATTGTAAAACAGATATTTTATTTAAGAATAAGCTCAAAAAGTTTTTAAAAATATATATTTATTCTGTAAAATTCTCTACATGAAATAAATTATCTGTCTCTCTATTGTAATATTACTCACCAAAATTTACTTGGCCTCTGCGGTAAATATCTGATTTGGCCGAAAACGATTAACTCTATTCTTATAGCCCATGGTACACAAATATCTATTTTATTTCAAATATTTATTATTATCTGAATGAAATTAATGCCACTAGTCAAGGTTTTAAGGCCTCGTCACTTTAACCTTTGTTTTAGATGCGTTTTTCTTTAAATTTTTTCTTAACAAAATATTTACAAAAGAATCCTTTGGATAAAAAAAAACTATTTGATACGCCCATGGAGACCAAAACTGTTAAAAGTTCGTAGATACTGGCTTCAAACAAAGCCTATGTTAAACGGCGCCCGTTAGTTATCTATATTTCATTTGTTTATCTGAGATTTTCACCATCCATGGTGCTTGATATTCACCTATGTGAGCAACTCGCATACTTGATTATAGGTGTAAAATTTTAGTAATTTATAACACATGTGCCCACAATACATTGTTTGTGTATCGTGCATGTTCCTACATATATAAGTGAATCCATTTACTCTCGGAAGACAGAAATGGACTATATCCAATGGCTAATAACTCAAAACAAATAAGGATTCAATTTTTCACTTTTGATTATACAGTTCGATTTCCCACATTTTCCTAAGAAAATGTATTCTTGTTGTAATTTGCGGTTTATAAGAAATAAGCAATTCTATATATTATACCGTCAACTAATCCGCCTTTCCCATTTATTAATACAGTACGTGTTTAAGAGAAATGCGCAAATTACTACAAAAAAAAACAGCAGTGTTTAAGTGTCTCATGAACTTGTAGGTATACAGGGTGATTCATTACTAATTGGAAATATTTCAGTTATAGAATTCTGAACTCAAATTATGAAGATTTAACCCAAATCACTTAGATAAAATGTGTCTCCATTCTGAGTTACAGGGTGTTTTGTTTAATAATTTAAAAATCATTTCTGTCCAGTACTTTAAAACTATTTTACGCATTATTGTCATACTTGGCGGGAAGTGCAGATGCTTTACACCCTATTAAATTATGTTAAATACACGTTTCTAGCTACCATCAGAGGCGTACGACAGGGGCAAGTGACTTGCATCAGGAATGGTGAAACAACTGAACAGGATTAAGACAGACCAAAGAGTTCATTAAGGAACCGTTGACTAAGTTAGGGAAAGATTTACTGGATCAAAAACGATAAATCGTTAGGATAACAGAAGGTCCTCTTACTGGAAACTGTCGCCCAAGAAGTCACGCATACGTGTCATCAATCCAGCAGAACAAGCAACAATTTGTGCAGGTTTTGTAAAAAAGAACAGGAAACATCCTATGCCTGTGTGAAGGCCTGGCTAGATTGAGGTTTCTAACACTAGCTGAAGAAAAGTCAGAAGCATGTTCGCTATACTTACGCGTGTTTCGGATTAACAAAATTAGGCAAATTAGTCATGACAACCAGTTCCAATAAGCCTCTTCCCAAACAATTAGGTAAAATTGCCCTAATGGTCAGATTTAAATTAAAATAATATTAGGGTAGGTACTAAATTTGTTACAAATATTGCAGTTGAAATGATTCTTTGCAAGTGTTGACATTGTATGTATATTGTAAAGGAGGAGGGCCTATAAGCCCGGTTTTCGGCCCCTTTTGCTTTTTTCGAAAACAATTTTTTTTTTGTACCAGTAAGTAAAGGTCATAAACAGTCGATTTGACCCTAAACGAAACCTCAAATAACCCCCCCCCTTATTCCCTCCACATTCCATATGATAAAATAATAGCCTAGCACAAATGCCTTGTAAGTGATTAACTATTTGCCAGACTACTACCCTTGAGCCCTTTTACATATTAATTCACTCATCATACACTGTCCCTCCCCCCCCAAACAGGACCCCACCGCTGATTGTATTGAAACTACTCTTAGCTGTGCTGTGCGCATATTTTGTCAGTCCTTAGGTACTTGGGTTATTATAGACATTTACCTACAAAACCAAAGTACCATAGTGATCAGTATGCAGATTTCCAAGTTGATGCCGCGAACTGGTCTGAAAGCGAGGCTTCAGAAAATAAAGAACAAGAGTGAGTAGGAACAGTTAAAAACCATGTAGAGGGACGTTAATAAAGCACCCCAGTGAGAAGCAAGGGGACTCACGTTAATAAACCACCCCAGTGATAGACAAGGAGACTCATGTTAATAAGGCGCCCCAGTGAGAGGCAAGGGGACTCACGTTAATAAAGCACCCCAAAAGAAACAAATACCTACCACGTCCACGTCGTTGTTTCTGGGTAACGCTAAGAGTAGTTTCAATACAATCAGCGGGGGGTCCTGTTTGGGGGGGGGGCAGGGTATGATGAGTGAATTAATATGTAAAAGGGCTCAAGATTAGTAGGTTAGTAGGTTAATCACAAGGCATTTGTGCTTGGCTATTATTTTATCATATAGACTGTGGAGGGAATAAGGGGGGAGGGGGTTATTTGAGGTTCCGTTTAAGGTCAAATCGACTGTTTATGACCTCTACTTACTGGCACAAGAAATTTTTTTTTGTTTTCGAAAAAAACAAAAGGGGCCAAAAACCGGGCTTAAAGGCCCTCCTCCTTTAGTGGAAATTTTAAAAATGCCTAGACGTGTGTAAGATGTAGATAGTCTAATTTGTAGTGTACATAAGTATTTTACGGATGAAAAGAAAATGGCGGTCCTTTAAAATCGGTAATATCTGTACAACAACGCGTATGCGATGCTCTAGGAATTAGTGAAACCAAATTAAGAGGAGTATTACAAAATCACAATAGTGAACTGCCGAAAGAAGATCACCGCAAAACTCGGCCATCATTGAAAACGAAAGATATTCCAGATGGAAAGAAATTTGAAATTCGTGATACCATTTATCGAATGAGGGCCAACAAGGAACATGTGACCTTAAATACAATTCTTTCGGAATTAATAGATAGAAAATTTGACGACATTGGCAGAACAAGTCTATGGCTAAGTGATGCATAACTTGGGTTTCAAATTTCAAAAGGAGGATAACAGAAAAGTCCTTTGTGAAAGAAGTTCTGTCGTGCACAAGAGAATTAACTTTTTAAGAAAATATTCTAAATTTAAAGAAGAAGGGGCGAATTTTATATATTTAGACGAAACATGGATATTTTCTAGGGGTGCAACCAAGAGAATATGGCAAGATGATAACGCAAAGTCCATCAAACATACCAATGGAGAAGGGAAGCGACACATAATTTTACATGAAGGAGGGAAATCGGGTTTTATAGAAGGTGCTGATTTAATATTTTCTTCTAAATCAAAATCCAGTGACTATCACGATAATATGAACACAGAAATGTTTGTAAAATGGTTGCATGAAAAATTTCTCCCAGGTTTAAGTGAGCCCAGCGTAATTATTTTAGACAATGCACCTTACCATTCTGAAGTATTAAACAAAAGTCCAACGAATTCTTGGACTGTTGATAAAATTAAAGAATGGTTGACAAAGGAACATTTTCTCAATATATATTAATTTCAGAATTATTACGCTTAGCAAATATACACGCAAAACCAAAAACCTTTGTTGTGGATCAGATTATTGAAAGTTACAATCATCAAGTTTTACGTCTGCCACCGAATCATTGCCAGTTTAATCTTATCGAATATATATGGGGAATAGCAAAACAATATTATGACCACCATATTGGGCCTAATGGTTATAGTGATGACGCAGTTCGGGAAACTTGGCAAAAAGCACTTTCTGCAACTCCAGAAGTGTGGCGGAACTGTATATCCAAGTGCGAGAAACTAATAGAAGATTGGTAGACTCGTGAAAATAAAATAAACGAAATAAGTCCAATCATAATAACAATTAATGGTGATGACAGTGATGATGATGGCGATTATGATATTTTGGATGATAATGACTGATTTTTCCTTTTTATTGGCAAGTTCAATTTTTTTATTTTTCATTGAAATTCTCTACATGGAACAAATTTTTATGTTAGAAAATATTTTATTTGAGCTAAATAACCCTCTTATTATACATCGACCATATTTTCTGTGTGAAGTGTAATATAAAACTATTATTAGGTTTATAATAGCCACATTAGACTCCATTAATGAAGAAGTTTAATTCTGCTCTCAATTATACAAAAGATTCTCCATTATTATTTAATTAAAAAGTTGTACATTATTTTTCATTTCATTTAACCAGTTGATATTTCCCCAAAGAACAGGTCAAACTTTCGGGTACTTACCTTGAAATACTCATAAAATTTTTAATCCGAAACCCGCGTAAGTATAGCGAACAGACTGTAACTACATGCAGGAGCTACTGTCAAAGTTAAGTCTAATAAAAAAGACCAAGCTAGACGACAAACAATAGATCTGAAAAGGATGAACAATAACAAATAATGTCCAACTCCTTTCAAATCTATCTAAAATTTAGTTGTATTGTAAATGTACCTACTGAAATTGACCCGACAATAATTAATATAATTAAGTATTGTTGACCAGCTATAGTTTCTTTATATAGTTGTTTTCTGAGGATAGAATTTTATCGCGGAATCGCGGACTAAAATGTTTTAATTCTTATAGCAAATAATAAAATTTTAAATTTTTCGGAGTCTGTAGAAACCTCAAATTTAAATAGTTTTCCATCTTCCTCTTAAAATTGATTAAATGGTCGACCTTCCTTTGAAGTAGTATTTATACTTGCGCACACAATAAAAAATCGCTGCGCGAAAATCACCTGTACATGACAAAAGAGCGGCACCTTTTAGCAAAACACTCCGTACAATAAAAAAAATTCACCAATAACTATTAAAATCACATAATCAATATTATTTAAAAATACGCTACCTTGGTGTAGTCCGAACCGAACAATAAGTATTTCTAAATATTATTTTGTTCATTAAGACCCAAATTTCGGTGTTCCGCATAAAAATCGTTCATTCGGACACGCACTATTCTCGTCCGAGTTGATCAGTTGGGAGCACATGAAAATTCTGAAAACACTGAAAAGTTTCTTTCAGTGCCAACAGTCAACCGTGGTAGCAGTTATATCCTATTTATAAAAGGTGCGCGAGAATTGTTGTTTTGTGTACATATAGTACAGTCCCTATTGGCAGCAAAGCGGAAAAAATGGATCGTTCGGCCAATATGAAACACTTTCCAATCTTTTAAATAAAATATTATTAGTTAGGACGCTCTGCTTGATACCATTGTTTGGTACAATTCAAATTTCCATAACATTATTCGCTCAGAGCTACGGATAATTCAAGTACTTTAAGGCGATATTTTGTAATTTTGGCGTATCTAATGCACGTGGTTTTTCTTTAAATAGTTAAAAAAATGTTATAAATTATAAAAATACTACAAAAAAAAACTGTAAATTTTATAAATTTCCAGTAGCTAAATGGAATTTAAATCAGAAATAAATGGATAGCTGCAGTAAGAAGGGAAAAATAAATATTATTATTAATATTCTACATTGATAAAGGCTGAGGACACAAGTCCTATGATAGCCTAAAAACAAAATAGAAAAATTCTAACAAAGTAAACAAAATGAAACAAAAAGATAAGAACACTAAAAATTAAATAAAAATGTTAAACAAACACTCGTCTAACTTATTTTTAAAGACGTTAACTGTTATGGAACAAACAACTTCGTCGCTGAGGTCGTCCCATACATTAAATACCCGGTTGGAAAGGAATTATTGTCTGTGCTTCGTTTTTAGGTTTGCCTTTTTTAATTTTAGTTCATGACCACGTAGACGAGAGTCAGTATTTAACAAAAAAAATGTCACTAAGATTTCCGTAATTATATTTAAGTATTCTAAAAGTGAGAATCAGGTCCCCTCGTAGTCGACAACTCGCAAAAGTTGGTAAATTTGTCAATTGTAGTCTTTCTGCATGTGATGGTCGAACTGCTCCAAAGGTCATTCTGGTAGCCCGGCGTTGAACATTTTCTAAAAGGTTCTGATCTCGCACAAGAAGCGGACACCAAACTACACCTGCATATTCTAATAAAGGTCAAACATAAGTGTTAAATAATTTGTTGGATGTATTGAAAGGATACCTTTGCAAAAGTCTTTCGAAGCAAATATAACATCGAATTTGCACGTTTACATGTTTTTAGAATGTGTTCAGACCATGTTAATTCTGACGTCACTAAAACACCTAAATCTACATACGAAGACACTTGCGTCAAGTTATGGCTACCGAGGGAGTAACGAAGACGTGGATTATTTTTGCCGATATGTAACACCCCGCACTTGTTTATATTTAACCGGAGAAGCCAGTCCGAGCACCAATCACTTATTGAATTTAAGTCAGTGGTTAAATTCTACAATTTCACCAGTAAAAACATCAACAAATTAATATTTTACACCTACTAAATAAATAAACAATTCTCAAATAGTTCGACTGCTTTTTACCCTAATATAATGTGAAGTCATAAAACTATAAATAGCATTTTTCTCAGAATACCGAACGTCGAACACCTGTGTTTTTAAGTGCACAGCGGTGCATTGGAACAAAATGAGTGTCCGGCGCATAGTGAACGAAGCACAAATGACGTATTTCATTATGTCATGATGTTTTCATTGGTTGAAACCGAATAGGTGCGTGAACTATGCCCCGGACACTCAGTTCGTCCCAACAGTATATATTAAGGTGCGCTCGACGCGAGCAGTTCAGTTGTATGTTTGCCATCATTCAGTAGTTGTCTTAGTGCCACCAAAGAATCAGTTGTCTTTTTGCCATCATCGCTCACAGTTGTTTGCTATCCGAACGTTCAAGTGCTTTCTGCCGACGGCACGTTACTTTCTACATTTTTACAAGCGTTTAATGCATTTTATTTTCTGGTGAAAGTTATTTCTTCTACAATTGTTATGGCATAAGAAATTCTACAAACAAATGTTTTCAAGTTGGTAACTAAAAAATCAACTATATTAGTTAATCAAATTGTGATGAACTAAAATTGTAAACATTTAAAAATGTTTAGTGAAGATAAGAAAATTATTATATCTAAATGGAATCAACCACTATGTATTTACTTCAGTGAAAATAGTAAATTAAAAACACTTCTTTTTCTACTACCTATGACTCGTTAGTTATTTCTACAAAAGAACCCAATTCTTCTAACACCAGCGACATATGCTACAGAACATTTTTACCAAAGAAATATTCGGAAGTAACACCGGTATTTTTTCAGTCAGTTTAAATATTATCATAGTCTACTAAGGGGTTTCCGTAAAATTTTATGTCATCTGCATACAATGCTCTTTGAGACTGGATATGGTAAGGTAGATCACTCGAATAAGTTATAAAAAGAAGCGGACCCAGTATCGAGCCTTGGGGGACACCACTTGTCACTAATCTATCTGATGAGTAGGACTGACTAACTTTGACTCGAAAACTCCTATTTTCTAGATAATTGTGAATCTATGACAATAATTTTCCTCGAATACAAAATGACTCGAGTTTGTGCTGCAGTCTGACGAAAGCCTTTGGAAAATCAGTTGGTTGTTTGCATTCGAGTGAGCGAGACCAATCCTTAATACAGCATAAAAGATTTGTTGTGGTAGATTTACCTTTAACAAAACCGTGTTGTTCCTTTGGTATTACGTTATGCTCTTTGAAAAAGTTAGTAATGACATCAACTACGATGCTTTCCATGATTTTTGATGGGATATAGACAGATAGGTCTGTAATTTGAAGCATCCATTTTGTCACCCTTCTTAAATATAGCTGTGACTAACGCCATTTTCCATAAATCTGGTAAAGTAGATATTTTAAAAGGCATGGTCATAATTGTGGAAAGCAAGCAGGACAGTGTGTTTGCATACTTTTTTAAAAAGAGAGAACTTAATCCATCAATACCAGGAGAAGAGTGGTTCTTCAACTTACGTAATTTATTTCTAACCTTTTCGGGATTAAATTGCACTTCAATCAGACTATTATGTATCCTAGTGGTTATTATATGTGGTAGTGCGGTAGTGGCAGGTTCATTTGTAAATACAGAAGTAAAAGTGTTTGCCAGAATTTCCGCAGTATTGAAATCTGTAGAACATAAAGTACCATCTGGGTAACGCAATAAAGGTACACTTACTTTGGAACACAAATTTGAACGCACATATTTGTATAACTTTTTGTGATTTTCTGAGTTAACAATGTTTTCTTCATAGTCTCTTCTCGCTGAGCGAATGGATAGTTTTAAGAAATTAGAGTAATTTCTGTGAGAACGGAAGTCCTGTATATTTTTAGAAATGTTGTACTTTCTCCAAAGTCGCCGTTTATGATAAATTAAGGATACGACATCAGTATTTATCCAGGGTTTTAACGGATCTCTGCGGTACTTCTTGGTAAAAGAATGTTTATTAATTATTTCATTAATGGTGTATAGAAAAGTGTTCCACATAATATCATTTACATTGTTAAACTCTTTTAAAATATCATCAAAGTTGATAGCTTCTAAGTTCATTTTGACATCGTTGTATTTGATCACCCTGTATAAATCATACGTCTTACTGTCATTTCGGTAGGCGCGACAGACGACCGCCGACGCGACATACGACCGCCGACACATCTAAAATACATACAATTATATGAAACACATTTCGCACGGCGCGACGCGACCGAGAAGTGTCGTCCTGGAAACACTTCTCGGTGCAAAGCTTTACTGCGTATCGCACTCGAGGTCACTGTCCTCGGCATCGCTTTTTTTTTGGGGGTGATTCGGTCGGAAATTTCTTTAGATCTAGGCAGCGTTGCCAGATTTTAAAACAGTATGGGTAAAAAAAACCGTAGATCTGAACAGTAGATTTTAATACAGGGGGAAATAATTAAAATTTGCAGTGTAGTAAATAAAAAAACAAGTATATAAGAAACGAAAAATAATCTTTTTTCGACCCAAATTAGAAGGTAAACAAAGAATAAACACAAATAATAACATTTTTAATATATACTTAACGTACGGAAACAAAAAAAAATGAAAAATAATAGGTACCTACTTCTTTTAGATCAGTCTGAATCAGATAATTCAAAATCGTAGTGTGCATATTCTTTTTATGATGCCCTATTAATTCTTTGTTTCATTTTAAATAAAAACAATGATTATCTTGATGTTTTTTTTTATGGAGCCAACCTAGAGTAGTGGATGCTTATTACGCTGCTTTTACTGCAGAAAATTTACTAGAGGAAATATTCTTTAACCATTTGCTGAAGAATGAGGCAAACTTTATAAATTAAGAACAAAATTTGCTAGAGACAAAAACAGTGGATTTACGTGAAAACAGTAGGTCTGGCAACGCTGATCGTTTCCTCGAATGGTTATCCTGTAACTGTCGCGCGACACTTCTCAAGCTTGCGAAATGCACCAAGCGTAACATTTATGCATCTGTCGTCCTACTCGACCTTCGGGTCGCATCAGTGGTCGCTTGTCTCTTGACGCGCCTACCCAAATGGTACCTTTACACTTTCAATATGAACTTGGATCTCGGCTATTATTACTGAGTGGTCGGAAATGCCTATTGGGGGAAGATGTTAAGGTTCTGTTATAAGTTCTTTATCATTTGTGATGATCTGTAGAGCAATGAAACATTGCACTGTATTAACTGAATAAAACTTTATTGCATGAATTGAAAAATGGGATATTACCAAGAACAAAATAAAATTATTATTATTACTATTTGATGTGATATCAATCATAAAAATAAATTAAATAATTTTCGTTATTTTTACGATCTTCAACATCCCTTACATGTTCAGCGAGGACTATTTCTATCTCTGATTATTGTCTGTGGCTGAAATGCAATTTTGTTACTGATTGGAAATCAGTTGAACTTGTGTTACTTAATAGGGGTCGATTTTTAGGTCTCGTCGACTCCCAAAATCAGTTTCCGTTTATGTCGACCCCTTGGAAACCGATTTCGACTCTAAGAGGTCAGTATTGATTACTTTAGGAATTCCTGACGTAGACGATAGTCAGTATTTAACAAAAAAATGTTACTAAGATTTCCGTAGTTGTATTT